TACATGACAAAATATAATCTTCAGGAGTAAAATGTTTCGAACATACTACCATATACTTCGTAACTTTTTTTCCAATTCTTAGCAGTCGAATCCACTCTTTCCGTCGGTTACATTTCTGAGATTCTCCGAATTCTGATTTACGAAAAATCATCTGTTTTTCATGTGGGAATACATGAAAACTTATATCGGGATCGCGTATGGCTTTGGAATTACAATTTGGAACACAACAGAAAGCTTTACTTTTACTATTCATCTTTACTGCTGACAATATACGAAGAACATTCGAACGACCCAGATAGAGTAGTTCTGTTTTTAAACACCAGAGGGCGAGCATCCGGTGAAAAACGCGAATTGTGGAGTAAATCATTCACAAAATAAAAATAATATCATGAAAGTTTTTGTTTTTTAATTTAGTTAATAGCTCTGTGTTTAGCATTATCAATATTTTATAAATATTGTGATTATGAAATGTACTGTATAAGAAAACTTGCATCACAATTTTTAATTAATATGAAATTAAAAATAACTGAAATTAATTTTCAAATTAATTTGATATTACACCAATCTATGTTACTTTATATAAATTTATGAATAATAACTAACAAACATTGATATATTTATTATTACAGGATATTTTTTAACGACACATTGTTTATTATAGAGTCATTAATATTTCATATTCAGTAGTTCTTTCTCTTATTAGAGTTTTAACACACTTATTTCACATAACGATAAGAAATAGTCTGTTTATATGATTTGCTGACCATTTTCAAAAACATTCCTTAAAGATGTTTGGCGTACAATAATTTGGCTGAACGTTAGAACAGCCAAATTATTGCACGCCAAATTGAACAAGCTCAAATTATATTTGGGTAGTATCAGCGAAGGAAATTTGACGCACAAGGCATAGCTCGAAGCCTTTTTCTGTGATGATATTTCTGATTTATTGTCATGGTGACATTGTTTCATCCAAAATTTCCTGTAGTCGTAGTCTATGTAATGTACACTTTATTCACACATTGAGTCATACTGTCAAATCTGCTTCCAGTATACAGTATATGTGCCACAATTTTCAAGTGTCATTTGTGTAGATGTTATTGCTGAATTCTACTTTTTCAACCTTGTTTCACTCGGGTTCTTTTTATGGGATTTCAAATATTTTTTATATAACAAGTTCATAAAACAATACCGTAGTTTTCATGTTAACTCTGTATTCTTGTAACAGTCATCTGATAGCCATTACTTTTTCTCAATATCCCAGAAAATAAGTAAGAAAAATCTTGTGCAGATCGGACAGAATTTAAGCGTTAAGAAGTGGATTTAAATCAGGCGGGATGGAGTGTCCAGGTATTCGCGTTAGTCTACACTTTTTCGGGGTGCCCGAGAATAAATGTGGAAAATTTTGTACAGTATGAGCAAAGGGGTTTACGACGACTTCAGAAAAATGTCGACCTATTTCTCTGAGGCTCTGGGATTAATGCGGACGAACATTCCCCAATAGTGGACTGGACGTCAGGACATGTGGAATTTTTCGATGGGCCGTAGCTCATGGCTGTTCCTTGTTTTAATAAACTGTGTGCTATATTTCATTTGCAAAAACTAAACAAATTAATAAACAGCATAGAAGTTTTGTCTATCTGTCAACTATATTAAATTTTAAAAAAACTCTTATTTAACTCATAAGTTTAATTCAGCTATACGTGTCATGGCATGGTCCACGAAAAGAGAGTCCATTCACAGTAAATAACATGTATTACTTCTAATTTTGAAATGATTAGCCCTAATCCGAACATGAGCCGCCGCGGAAAGAGTTATGTTAATTGATATTCGGCCTGCCACAACATGTAGTTTTTAGTTTCTAATTTGAAAGTAACTGATTATAACTGGAGTTGTACATAGCAATAATTTCTTTGGACTCTTTCAGTCCAGAAGGCACTTCAGTTCAAGCTCCAATTCATATGATTTGTGCACGCCCTCAATTGTACAGCAGGCAGAAGCGCCGCTAGCTGTTTGAACGACCGTGTGCAATACCGATTATGCCGCCTTCTATTCCACTAAGACTACCTATGCTGAGCTTGCCAGAAAGGCTCTTTACTGTTGTCTCATAAGGGTATGAAAAAAGAAAAGAAATACTTTATAAAAAAGACTATTTATTCTTAATACTAAGTTATTTTTGTTTACTTCAGTGTTAAACCATATAAATATTTATCTACAAAAATTGAACTCTTCTTGCCTTTATGTTTGCTAAATCTGCTATCAATTTTCTTGTATCCAAGCTGTCTAAGATTTGATGTTCAATTGAAACTATAGCTAAATTACTTAGTCTTTGCTGGTGCATTGTTGATCTTAAATAGTTTTTTAAAATTTTTAACTTTGAAAAG